ATGTTCTCTAGTGAAATTATTGGGCATCCGGTGTCTTCCCATCACATGGAGGAAGCTGTCTGGTGTGTGGGGTCCTCGTGCTTTAGTAGGTCCCCGGGCCTTGGCTTCAGGCTGCGTGGTGGGGTGGGTGTGTCTGTAGCGGGAACTCTCTGTCCCGGGGATGGCCTCGCGGGGGCAGTGAGGGCCCTGACTCTGCCAGGGGCAAACCAAGGCAGGCTGGTGAAGGAGTGGGAAGGAATGAATGGGTGACAGTCAAACGAGGATGTCCCCTGCTCTCGGACAGGATAACTCACCGTCAGAAAGAAGACAACCTTCCCCAAGTCACTTGAGGGCCATACGGATTCATTTCATGCACCGTTAGTTTAAAGTACCAACCACGTTTCATCGGGAGCTCAGCATGCGGATAGTAGGGCTTCAGCTGGAAGATAGTGTTTGACAAAATTGGGACGACCCTGACCGTGAGGGACAGTGAGAACAAGCTGGGGAACCTGCCAGATAGCACAGCGAACCCTAGGCCTTGGGTAGAGTGCGGTGCTGGGGTCCCATGGGGAGAATCAAACGACCAGACGGACGGACAGACAGACAGCGCTGCGCATTAGTGGCTGGAGTCAGGGACGGGGCTGCAGCGGCCGACGCTCCTGTGCTGGGCACCGGGTTACGGGTGAAGCTCCCAGAGCCTAAGGCCCCATAGCCAGCTGGTAATTTTGTAGCCTTGTGCATTCTCAGTAAATCACACGCGTGTGCGAGGGTGCACGCTGATGCGAGCATTCACACTGACACACACACGCACAGAGGCAGCCCAAACTCTTGTTTTGTACCATGTTTTCAGTGACGCTAAGAACCGGGTCCCACTTGTCTTTCCCAGTCACTGTTGGCCTCACTTAGAACCACTGAACGGACAGAAGAGCTGGGCAGCCGCCGCTGCTCTCCAGGGGACTCGGGGCCCTACCAGTTCCTTCTTGGCCGCTGCACCTGTGAAACAGCCCTGGGCACAGCGAGAGTTAGGACCCCAGATCCTTCCCCTCATTGACCTTATTTGAACAATAGATGGAATCTAAAATGCAGCGGAAAAAAGCAGCTCATCAGACAAACCATCCAGGGTGAGAAAGATTCTAAAACGCTGTTCTCGGTGACGTGGAAAGGCAGCCCTCTGTGGTGACATGAGGAAGAATGGATTCTTCCCCTAGTGGGCTGGTTTCCTGCTGGTGCCTGAGCAGCCGGGATCAGCGGTCGGCCTGTCCCGCATTCTGTATTCCCTGGAACCCGCGGCAGGTGCACCTCTAAGCCCGCGGTACCCCACACACCTCAAGGGGCAGGAAGACGAGGAAGGCCAGTGAGAGGCGGCCCTTCCTGCCCTCTCCAGACCCAGGCTCTCCAGCCCACCTTCTCTAGTCTGGGACAGGATTTCTGTCTCCCTCAGGCAGCCTGGTCAGGGCAGAAGGAACGAGCAGCCTGTATGATGCAAAACGGGATGCTCTGGTGACCCGCCCCTATGGACCTTGTCCTTCACTATGGAGACCCTGACCTGTTGCAGGCTGGGAAGGTCACTTGTGGGGCTCCGACTGCCATGCCTGTCCATCAGGATAACCCTATCCCTATACCTAATCCTATCCCTAACTCTAACCCTAACCTTAACCCTATCTCTATCCCTATCCCTATCCCTAA